GTTCACAGCAAAAGATTAGTTCACAGCAAAATGATTCGTTCATAGCGAAAGATTAGTTCACAGCAAAAGATTCGTTCACAGCAAAAGATTAGTTCACAGCCATAGATTAGTTTGCAGAGAGTCATTCGTTCGTAGTGAAAGATTAGTTCACAGAGAGTGAATCGTTCACAGTGAAAGATTAGTTCACAGTGAAAGATTCACGAGTTGTTTTTCTTTATGTTTTTCTCTTTATTAAGAGTTTTAAATGTTCAATGGAGTTCTGCAGTTCCACTGCTGAGCTCATGTGTCATGTAATGTAAGAGTTAGAGTTATGATCCCTTGACTCGATAAAATAGATATCTTTCGAACGAAGAACAGCGAAATGAACGCACTTCGTTTAAACACTCGCTTTGTTAGCAAAGTCACTTAAACTTTGATGCATGTGAAAAAGTTGCATGAATTTATATTGCTATTTTATTTTTTATATTCGCTTTTCTTCTATCGAAAGATATCTATTTTATTCATGTTCCACGAGGGCAGTTTAGCGTAGGAACACATTTTAGGATGAAATCTTGTCAGACAGACAGATAGATAGATACATAAAAAAAGTATTTGCAATAAGCTAAACTTGAATTTAGAGATGAATATGTTTAAACTAACACAAAGGGATTTTTACAGGGCTTCAAAATTGAAAGTATTGAAGGATGTTTTCAGGAAATTCACTCTTTTCAGTTGCACTTACAGTATAGTGTTTTTATAGTTCTGAAGTTCACAGAGGTTTCCAGCGGGCTGCTGTGAACGGTGTATTGTGCACTGTAGCTGTGTCTTTTCATTCACTGATGAACACACTAATGACAAACTGCAGTGTTTCTTAAATGTAGCTGCCTTTTAATTTTGCATGAAACGGTTTCAGAGGTCCATGTGCAAATGCAGGGTTTTGTGACTCTGATATCAAGGCCAGGATTTAAAAGTATACAAAAACATAGTCCAACACATCACATATTAGACAGGCAATGTTGGGCTGTGGTTTCAAAAAAAAAGAAAAAAGAAAGAAAGTGATGAAAACGGATCACATTACAAAAAAGTTGCCTTATTGAGTGAAACATTTCATTTGTTTTACAATAACTTACACACATGCATTTAACAACGACACAGACACAACTGCCCATATTACTGTATGAAGAAAAATCAAACACAGAAACCTTTGAGATGCAGCCAGGAAGCAGGATTTACACAGGGAGGATGTCAGAATGTCTGTCAGTGCTTTCACTTCCAGCCTGTTCTCCTTGTACTGCAGCTGCCATAAACATGATTGGAATGCTGACACCGGAAATGTCAGCTAACTGTGCTAAATCTTTCATGCCAAGGTTTAAAGCAAAAGAGCATCTTAAGAGACACTTCAGGCACATGTTAGACTGTCTGGATGATTGAGGACGCTGCCTGACCAGAGGCCATAAAAACCCCTTCAGTGTAGGAGCCAACAATTTTACAAAACCATGAGTGGGCACATGAACTGTGAAACTAATTTGAAGTTCTCAATCACTTTGTGTTTCTTTCAACCCCCAGCCTTGGTGTTCTTTCCCCATATGAACCTGAAGGTATATTGTAATGTTTCTATCCCCTCTATCAATTAGAACTAAAGAAGCCTCTTGGATGAGAGGTGAAACGTTTTCTTGAGGTAATTTCATGTCCAGTTGCCTAACAACCTTGACCGTGACCTGGATGACTGAGATATGTTCAAAGGGTTGGGGTCAGAGGTCAGGCATGGAAGAGCAGTGTGTCCTCACTTATACATTTTTGTAGTTTGTAAACTTCCACTACATCACCATCCAGTTTGCTAGTTACTGTTAGAACCAGCGCAAACCAGCGTTTTCACCATCAGTGATACATTGTAGCATCAGTATTTTATTGTTAACTTTACCTGTTATACCCGATTATGTCAATATCTATATTTATGCTTTAACTTCAAGTAAAACTGGTTACAAAAGAAAGGAAAAAAAGACGTATGTCTACAATGTCTTTCACGATTTTACAAAACCATGAGTGGGCACATGAACTGTGAAACTAATTTGAAGTTTTCAATCACTTTGTGTTTCTTTCAACCCCCAGCCTTGGTGTTCTTTCCCCATATGAACCTGAAGGTATATTGTCTGGCTCAGGCCTGTGACAAATCTGCTTTTGAGGTGAGCTGAACAGCCCTTGCCTTTTCTCTCTCTCCGTCTTCCTCTTGAAGTCTGGCCTGCAGTTTACCACAGATGCTACTGTCACCGTTGTGCAGAGCCTGAAGGAAGAGGTCTGTGTGTTCTCTCAGCCTGTCAAGGTCATTCTGGGTGTGTAAGTTTTGTTTAAGAAGCTCCTTGGTACGAAGAGTAATGTCAAGCAGACCAGATTTGCTAAGGATGTTGTAGGTGTTGCAGAAACGTTTCCGCTTTGTTTCGGCATCACTGTCACTCTGGTCACTTTCACCAAACAATTTCTCCTGCGTGTCCAGTTGTGGAAAAGAGTACATCTGATCTTTAGAAGTCTGGCAGAAAGGATGAGAAGTGTTGAACTCTAACTGACTAAATACTAATGGACTTCTTTCAACGCTAGGACTGTTGTAGACACTGGTTTCTGGTGTGGAGGTAGAATTTAAGTGTTGGAGCAAAGGAGACATGGAGTTGGGAGTACCAGGAAGACTGGCACAGTTTGAACCAGCTTTGCTAACACTACCACACATGGTTCTGAGCTGTTGGTCTTTCTGGTAGTGTTCATGCTGGTTGGAGAATAAATGGCTGTCATTCTTTGACCGTAAAGAAGAAGAAGTACAGGAAGAAGATGATGAAGAAGAGGAGGAAGAGCCCCTTCCCTGAGGAGCTGTCCCCTGGATGTGGTGCAATCTTGGGGTAGGATTTTAGAATGGGAAGATACTTCTTGGAGCGTTTGGGTCTGGAGGTAGCCTCTTTGTGGGTGGGAGGAGTTTGACTAGAGACCACCGGTTGGAGGAACACTACCTGAGGCTGTTGAACCACCTCCACTGTGGGACTAAAGCCCCAGGGCTTCAGAGCAGGAGGGTTGTCGCCAGGCTGCAAAGACAACGGAACCAATGTAAAATTATTTTAAATGTATAATCACAATAATGTGTTGTTTTCTAAACTGTAGATATTATTCACAAACTAAACATCTGGATATTTTATCATCTCATCTTAAACACACATGGCTTGTGTGACATGAATAATTTAAAAACAATACAATTTGAATTTCTGTGCCATTGTTTACATCTGTAGATTTGTTACCTGCTTCAGGAGCATGTTGTTCATTATGATCATCGGAGAAATGTTGGAATACGAGCCTCCAACTACAGCCAGCTGAGAGGGTTGATGCCCTGAGCCAGAAGACTGTGGTCCCTGCTGTGCAACAGGGTGCGGTGAGTCCTCTGAGTCTGTGGTGTCCATTGCATTCAGATGGTCTGAGCTTGCATCTTTAAAGATAATAGAGGAAAATGTTTAGTTTACTGATACCACATAGAAAATCATAACAAACTGGAAATGTGAAGGTCAAACCTGAAAATCCAGAGTCTCGCTCTGAGTCTCTTGTGTGTGCTTGGTTTGATGCCCTTGAATGGGTTTCTGGCTTCCTCTTGGTGCTCATCCTCTTATGTTGTTGTACTGACAACATCTTTGGCCAAACAGGTATGTAAATAAAAGCTACATCAACATATCAGGAGCTAAATCTGGGAATAAAAGAAAATAATATTGATTAGCTAAGGTAATATTGAAGTCGAAAGCCTAATTTTTTCTTTATTTATTATTAGTTAAAACTTGCTCAGCATCAGCATCATCTCAGCAGAAGTCAAATTTGAATCATTTAAAAAATAAGGTCGTGAGAAGCGTCACTGCAGATAATCACAAAAATATTAACTGTAATGTCTTCATTATTTTGATGTGATTCTTTTTTAATGTGTTGACTCTATAATATGCGTACGTTTGCAGTAATCCTAGCTATCGAATGTGTATTCGAGCAATTATATTATTAATATTATTGAATATTAATAATATCGTGAATTGTTATACCTGACGATGAGTACATAAAATGTAATATAAATTGAAAAAAATTCTTAATTTTTTTCACAACAACATTATTAGACAGAACTAACTTGATAAGATGCGAGGTCTACTATGGGGCACAACAGTGGACTTAACTCCAAAACATTGTAATAAATAAATCACACATATTGATTTTGTTCTGACTTAAAAGTTCTTAGTTATACCTGACCCAAATACTGACGACAATAAGAACGCTAAGTAGGGGGATGTGCATTTAAAGTTAGCACCATGGCTAACTGTAGGCAAAAAACAATACAATAAACACACGCAGCGTCGACCTGTAAAAAACAGATGACACAACATAAACAAGTCTATGCTTACTTTGTCTTGGGAGAACCTCCGACGACACCTCCTCCGCTGCGGACGGTAATAAACTCGGAGCCGGATGGATGTGTATTTTTCTACTCGATTATCTTCCTGTGTAAGGCTCCCAATGACGCTCTGCCGCTTTGCTACGTACTAGAACTCCGTGTTCCCTCCACGGTAGTATACACGAGACATAGGGCCCCTCCCCTGTCTCGTCGGTCACATGCAGAGCACGGTTACTACACTCTATAGTAGTGGAAATGTGTCTTCCGCAGAGCAATACAATATAATTTGGCTTTTGACTGCCACTCGGCTTCCGCTGCCCGACCGACAAAATCTTTCGGGCAAAAAATGCAAGATACAGGGATGATATGTGTGTCCCTGTCCGTATCCTATATTTGGAATTTAAGGGCGTGGCTGTGTCTGAACTGTCGCCGGCATCATATAGTTTGGCCACTACATCCACCCACTTGGTAGGATTCGTGGCCTGCGATTGGTCAATCGAAGCAGCAGCGTAAAAACGTGACGAGTGCTGAATGTATGGCAACTTGAGAACATTATGTTCGACGTGTAGTGAAGTCGAATATATAGTGCAGTCCAGCGTTTCCTACTCGTGCGCGCGGTCGGGGGACACTTGTAAAGCGAGGTTCTGAACGTAATGTCCTGGTGTGTTACATAATAAACCAGTTGGCCCAGAGCTACTCCAGGAAGATGGGTTTGAGTAGAAAACAATACACTGGCCCCCAGAACACCCTGTACTCACGTGCTCAGGTATATACTGTATTACTGTGGCTACCTT